CAATAAAGTTTCTTAAGAATATAACATTATGGGAAATGGTGTCAGGCCTGGAATTAGGTAAAAGTAGCCAAGAGGAACCTGAGGCAGGCTCCAGACTGACTCAGCAAGAAAGATAGAAAGTACGGAAAGTACAAAGAGTGCTGAACAAGATAAACCGCCTTGTGCATGACCTTGTGTTTGCAGAAAAGTATCCATTGTTGCAAGCAGAGAACACAGCCATGTGTGTTCTCTGGAGATAGCCAATTGCTAACAGCTACGTCTGCTTCTGTATTTGCTTGCTTGCTCACCCCAGTAAAAACCCTAGGCTGTAAGTGCCAGGCGTGACTCTCATTTGCAGCCTCTTGGCACCATGTCTCCGGACACCCCGAGAGTTTGCCCCTGTGCAGGTTAAGCTTTGGCCAATAAAGTTCCATCTTAAACTCCTGAAAGCTTCTGACCATTTGTTGCTTGCGTTGGTGGATGCCACAATGGTCCTGAAAATACATTGAGAGCCAGTAATTCCAAGTGCTGTCTAGGATGCAGGGCAACTGGAACTTTCAGACATTGCTCAGGCAGAATGAAGTTGTGTAATTACTTTTGAAAGATTTATCCATTTTGTATAAAATGAAACATACATTTACCCTGTGACCATGCAATTTCACTCCTGGGTGTTTACCCAAGAGAGATGCTAATATTTGTCCCAAAAGGTCTTGTAGAAGAATGTGCCTAGCAGCATTATGCAAAATAGCCCTACTGGAAGTAATCCCAGTGTTTATCAACAAGAGAGTTAATAGACAGATTGTATAATAATGCTCCGTATTGAAAGGGGTGACGTGCTGATGCCTACAACAATGTAGATGAGTCTTGTCAGTGTCGTGCTGATAAGGAGAAGACGTTCACAGAAAAGGCAACAGTGTGAGGCCATCGATGTGACATTTCAGAGTCCATCAGTGGTTTCCTGGTGCTGTGGGTGACAGTGGAGAGACTGAATACTAAGTTTTATTGTATGGTAGGTATAATTGTATATGCATTTGTTGAAAAACATCAGCTATACAACTATACTATTTTATTGTATCTAAACTATATATAATATCTTGAATGTAAATGGATTTGTAGTATTAGCACATTAATATGAAAACACACCAATAATGTTAAAGGAATCCTTTATGAACATTTCTTTTTCATTATATTTTTCCCATGGCCATTTGTCCCCCTTATACCCCACTTTCCCTACAATCACCACACTGTTGACCACTTTAATAGGGATTCAAAAGTTGAGCAATCAATGGTCATTTTGATTACAAATCAAAACAAAACAAAAGAAAAACTATATAAATATAACCCTAGAATCTCATTTTTAAAACTATGGCTAAGCATAACTGCATGAAGTCAATAGCCATATTTAATTATGAAATATAAAGGCTTTGCAACTGAAATTAGTTTAAAGGGAAAGAAGAAGCAATTCTTCCACTAAGAAGGTAAGATATTTTGGTATTGGAAAAAATCATTATTTAAGACATTTTGATTAATGCTCGGGAACTCAAGCTGACTAACTAAAACAAATAGGAGAATGCAGAGGGTTCAGTTGGGAGGACCAGAAGAGACACGGAAATCGCTGATGTGCCCTGTGTAAAGGATAACTCAGAAGAAAACATCTCTATACAGATTGAACACATAAAAAGAGTACATCTTTACAGGACACATAATATATAAGACCTGTGCAAAAAATTATAAGAATGATATACATATATATTATCTTGTATAAATAAAAATTTTAAATAATTTATTGGAAGTCTAAATATTGTATTCCATTTTTCCTAGGTTAACTTATACCTTTGTGGCAGGCAGGCAGCTGGAGTATGAGGACTTCAGTGAGACAGCTGCAAGAAACTGATTCTGCCAAGAAGAGAAAGGAGCTTGGAAAGGGATCTCTAGGGCCAGAGGAGAATGCACCCTGCTGTCACCTTGATTTCAGCCTGAGTAGACTGAAATCTACCAGTAGACTGGTCCAGCCACAGCGGGCTGGACTTCTGACCTTCAGAACCGTGAGCTGCTAAGTTGGTGATGATAAATTACACAGCAATAGAAAACTATTGTGACATTTAAATATTCCTGGACAGAATCCTGATGGAGCATTTTCAATTTTGGTATGGTAAGTCTAGTAACTTGGAAGAATGAGCATATTTTTAAGTTATGAACACCTAAGTAAAAGTGTGAACAAAAACAAACGACCCCCAAGATCTTATAGACATAATTACATGTATTTTATTGTCTCAATAATTTATAAGCGTATCGTGAAAGAGATTAGAAAGCCCAAGGAAAACTTCTGTTGTTCTAAGTTATTTTTTAACTTTATTTTTATTGTTGGCACTATTATAGATGTCCCCATCTTCCCCCCTTTGCAAAAATCATCAAAATCAATAAGACAGATATTCATCACTCAAAAAAGTGCTAGAGAATTAATTAATTAATTGGTTCCTAATAATACAAAGATAAATCACAGTTGATTAAATATTTAAAACCCAAAGAATTAAAACACAATAATCCAAGAGAAAATAAGCTTAGAAATGGCAATGGCCTTCTACATGTAAAATAATGCAAGAAAAGGAGAACTTTCTATGTGACAAAAAGATATCATTAAAAAGATTAAAAGATACAAAATATTTGCAAGGCATGTATCTTCAGTATAAAAGGAACTTCAGGAATTCATTGGTAGTGACAAAGTAGTCATGGGGGTGTCAAGTACTGCATAGCAAATGTAGTCAGTAACACTGTATGAAGTACTGATGGTGTAGTTGGGTACTGGAAGAATCAGGGGAAGACTTTGTAAAGTATATGATTGTCTAACCACTATTCTGTACATCAGGAACTAATACAAAATAATTTTGAATTAAACTGTACTTGAAAAATTATTTTTTAAAAATCACTGAGATCAATGGGGAAAAATGTGGATGGGCACCATAGATTTCTATGCAGTAGTAATAGAGATGCTTAGAAGTACATTAGTAATAAAATAAACTAAATAAAGCACACTAGTTTCCATTTATAAAATTGGAAAAAATAATTTGAAAAGTAGTAATGCTGACATTGATACACAGTATGCAACTTGAATCCAGTGTTAAAATATTCATATCCTTTGAAGAAATAATCTAACTTCTGGGAAACCTATCATAAGAAAATAATCAGAAATGTGGAAAATTATTTATCTACATAATACTTAAACTAATAAGATACTGGAAGCAATGAAATATTTCACAGTGGGGAAACTAGACTAATGAGTTATGGTATAACTACATGGCAGAATATTATGTCTAATATATTTCAGAAGAAATTGATTACATGGGAAAGTGCCCATAGTTTTTAAGTAACAAAGTTATATGTAAAACCGTATCTATTTGTCAATTATATCCAAACAAAAATAACTGGAAGACAAGCTGCAAATATGAATTATTAATTCAGAATTCGAAGACTACAGGACTTTTATTTTCAAAATTTTCTTCTTCAGAGTTTTCTCTCATAGGTTTTGTGTGGAAAATTTTTTATTAACTTTTTAACCTATAACAGATCCACATACATTACTATGTCAGCTGTTGCTGTCTCCTTGCTACTAAGAGTGTGAGGTGGTCCATTGGCACTGGCATCACCTGGATGCTCCATAGATGTTCAAGCCTCCTGTGGGGAAAGTGCTTTTCAAAGTCAGATGGTCTTCGGGGGTCAGGTGATCGTATTGAGACTCAAAGACGTTGCTTTTCCTCTTGCTTCCTCACACCGCACGTTATTCCTTGGTTTCTGCTATGCGTTTTACGGTAATATCTTTGTGCTTTAATTATTCCCATGTTTGAGCAGAACAAAACTTTTTTTTTGAAAGAAAAAACATATTGCTCTTTTGGCCATGGCTTTTAGATAACAGTGGCCTTTTTATGAGTTGCTCTTTTAAAATAACAATATTAATAGTATTATTAGCGGGCTTAATATTCTAAAAGCTAATTTTGTTTTGAATGGGAATATAAAATATTGTCTTCATAAGCTCACATAAAATTCATTTAGTGAGGAATTAAATGAAATGTTGCAGTGTCTAAAACTTTGTTTTCTGAAATGGAAAACTTTATAATTAAAAAAGTTGAAAGACTCCATTAATTATCCATTACCAAGGATCCATAATATTAAACTGTGAGTTAAAATTAATGTCTTCAATTATCCACTGCTGTGCCATGTCCCTGGTTTTTACAGAGATCTTAAAAAGGAATTAATCTAACGACACTGACCATAATGTTATGCAATCTAGCATAAAAAGTTTCTCAAAGTAAATATCTTCTTTCTAGAAAAAGGACTGCACAAATGAGGTTTTTATTTTCTATTATAAAACTCTGAGCATTGTTGAAAGTAATACATGTTGTGCATTAGAATGCACTTTATAGTTTTTTTTTAAACTCAGAGCTAATTCAGGACTAAAAACCCAGTAACTTACTCATTTGAGATGTGTTATACACATACTGTTCTCCGCCGACATGCCTTTGACCTTTTTTATTTAACTTAAGGAGATTCCTGGTGTATAAAAATGGGAAAAACGATACCTGCATGGTGGGTTATAAGAATCAAATGAGATCACACATGTTCCTCGTGAGCTCGTGACTGTCAAAGCCACGGTAGCATTCTGTGTCTAGCAGCTACTATTGCTAAACAGGATTTACTTTTAAAGTATTTTAAAATATAAATAACAGAAAATTTTGGAAGTAAATGTAAATACAAATATTTCATAGAAGTTATTTTAGGGACTTCTTACAGAATTTCCCTCTAAATATTACAATATGTTTTTGAGCATAATATCTTGAGATTTAAGAACACTTATTAAAAGAGGCCTATTAGTTTCTTGACCATTTATCTTAAAACTACTTATTTACAAGTTAATAATTAATCACAGATTGCCTTTTAACCACGAGTAAGCCAAGGAGAATGAAAAAGCCAATGCGCACAGCTTGTCTCCAATTACATACTGCCAAAGGTTTGGAAGGGCTGGGTTCAGACTCAGTTCTTCAATGAACCAAGCCATTAATTTTCTCGGACACTTCATTCCCTCATCTGTGCAAGACAGAATGACACCAGGTTCTTGCTAACCTTCTTCTGACTCAAAAATTTCAACAAATGTTTTATATTCCTCTAATCTGAATTTGGCTCCTTATAGTCAAAAATGAGAATTTTTGTTTCATTTATATTATTCAAAATTTATATTAAGAGTTTTAAAATACACTTGTATTTTTGAAGCCCATGTCCTGAAGAATATTTTGGAAGCACACAGCTATTCATGATCAACTGTTCCAGGAACACACAATGTGTTTCAAGTTTTGGTCAGTATCCTCAGAGGTATGTAGCTCACGTATGATCTTAGACCTGGTTTTTATTTACTAATTTTTCTTAAGAAGCTAGAAATACTCAGGCAGTATGACTCTAGTTGGGAGATTTAGTCAAAAGCATAGAAAATCTTCAGTTGGAAGCTAGATTAAGTTCATACAGGAAACTAGATTAAGTTCATAATTGGAAGCCTAGCTTCATTTTCATCTATCATTAATTTTTATCTATCTATCTGTCTATCTATCTATAATCTATCTATCAATTTATGTATCTATCATCTATCATCTATCTATGTTTCTATCTATTGTCTATCTACTGAAACTATCGTCATCATCATCTACCTATCTTCCATCTGTCTACCTTAGTAGAGAACCTAATTTGTTATAATGCATACAAGCCAGTGCATTCTACAGAACTCATGTTCACAATAGCATGTACTCCTGTTTTCTTGAAATAAAAATATTGAGATTGATATCACGAATATAATATCATACTGGCCATGACTGTTCGTAAGGAATATTGATTGGACATTGAAACTGGGATACAGTCATGCAGAATAATGAAGTTCTAGCTGACACACTAATAATTTATTTTTGATTTAAATGAAAAAGCAACATATTGAATCACTTTGTGAGTGAATGTATTTAGAATAAGCTGTAGACCACGGAACTTGTACTAGCAGGATGAGGATGATTATATTTGGACCAGATGGACCTTCTGGGTGGTCTTCAGAGTGGAGCCCAGTAAAAGGTCCACAGCAACAAGCTAGTTTGAAGGTGTTCATAAAAGCCCTGGATTGATATTGTGTGGTCCATATTACATTAAAAATAAACCTTAATATTTTTGTAGAGATATCTAATACAAGTGTATTTATTTGGCATACAAAAGCCCTGTTTATAAGATAACTTAATGGACTATTTCAAATATTTCAGGCTATGAATTTAGTCTACTCAGGTTTAAAACTTGGACAAAAATCAATTTCAATTTATGTGAGAATTCTGTTTTCAAATTTAGGGATAAACCATATGTTATATGTCAGATTTATCATTAGTTCTTTAAGAAAAGGCAGCAAAACTGATTTGTTCTATACCTCTTCTCCTTAATACAACTTTTATAAAATAATATTCATATAATTAAAGACACAATAATTATAGAAGATTTATTTTAGTAAGTATGAACTCATGCCATAAATTTTACATTTAAATATCATCATTGTCAGTTTTGCATATAGATGTTATTTGTGAAAATGTTTAAAACTATGAATAAGAATACCTTACAATATGGAAACATTGAGTTCTTTGGCTGAAATGCTCTTTTCAATGAGCATTATCATAAAACTTTCCTTGGTGAGAAGATCAGGATACTATTCAAATGCAGTTACACAGTTTTTTCTTCTTATTAATATCACATGCACATGAGACAAAAGTGTAGCTAATGTTTTAGAGGTAAAATTGTAGTTTCAACAACACTATTACCGAGAAATTGAATTGGTCCTCTGGCCCTAAATTTCCCGCTCTGTTCCCTAAATCATAAGATGTACTCTTAGACTCTTCTCATATTAATGCAGTTAATTGAGAAAAAAAAGAATGACAACTCATGTAATCAAAGGAATTTCAAACTTGATATATTTCCCTGATTAATTTGCAGAAGAGCTTCAAATTGTAGTTTGACTGTGAGTGTTTTTGTTGGTGGCAACATTTTCTTCAATGTATCTGTTGTAGAGTCGTAAAGTGGGGTTTGCACAGGTGAAATAATACCGTGGTCTGTCTGTATGCGGCAGCGGATCATAAGTTTCGCAAATGGTTTCAGGTACTTTATGCTCTGACTGGTGCAGAGATAAATGGCTGGCTTTTGGCTATGTTACACTCTTGCCAATACTTACTCTTTCAGAACTGCACAGCTTAGTCAGAGATGTCTTAACTGTAAGACTTAGAGGGATAGTAATCAAGATTATGATCTTACCATTTTTAACTGGAAAAACTTAAAAATTATTTTAGTAATGACTTTAATAATTTCGTAATAACTTTACAGAAAAAGCATTTGAGATAATATTGTCTATATGCCTAAAAATCTTGACACATGACCAATAGTTTTCACATCATAATGTTAATTTACACTCCCTGCAAAGTAACATATTTTACAAGATGTGCTTTAAATTTCTGTATTAGTACATTTCACTGCCAGTATATTTATTCTGTAGGATATTTTTTCACTGCATATTGCATTTCTTAAGTGCATTACACATAATGTATACAAGTGGAACAGTGTAAGTGATCTTTCAGGACTGAACGTCATTTTATCATCACCAGCAGATCCGGAATGTCTGATTCACTGCGCCAAAAACTGTCTGCCGGACAGGAGCCCCGAGACGAAGCAGAGATTTTAATTTAAGGAGAACTAATTAGCTCCAGGATGAATCTATTAAATGTTGTCAAGTTATCAAAATTCTGTCATTGTCTGTGCATTTGTGCTGCCTATTTTATATTCCATTTTTTCCAGGAGACCTAGTCAGTATGAATTAACGTTTATACAATGACTTCAATAAAGTCTTTGAACAATGTCATTATATAAAACAGACCATTTAACCAAGCTCTCAATTAACAAGATCATTCTTAGTACAAAAACAGTATCAAATAGTTGGTCTTAATTAAAAGTAGAACAATTTACCAATGAAACCAAAGGTATCATTATTTCACTTAGCTCATGGTGAAGATTTTAGTAAAGCTGAAACAGAAAACATTTGGAAGCACATATACACAAAAAGATAATGATCATTCACAATGGAATAGTTCCCTTTGAATACATTTTATTATCTTTTTAAAAATATATTTTATTGATTATGCTATTGTAGTTGTCCCGTTTCCCCCCTTCTTCCCTGTACCCCTCCCGCCCACATCTTCCCCTTAGTTCATGTCCGTGGGCTGTAGAAATAAATTCTTTGGCTTCTCCATTTCCTATAGTATTCTTACCCTCCCCCTGTCTACTTCGTACCTACCTTTTATGCTTCTTATTCCCTGTGCCTTTTCCCTCATTCCCCCTCCCCCTCCACACTGATATCTTTTTATCTCTTAAACTTGATATGGACCCAAACCACCAATTTGGGATATAAAGTAAATATAAATTTAATACATGTTTTAAAACAATAAATTTGAATAAATCTTTTAGTTTTTCTTTCACAAAATATGTGTATTGAAAGAATATGGAAAAATTCATACCAAACTATTAACTTAATTGGTTATCTATGAGGATGGAAGTGACATTTGGTAGGAGAGGAAAAGTTAGAAGAGATTGTTTTTCTGAATGTTTGTAATTATTTGTTATTTTAAATAAGGGGAACATATTTGTGCATTGCATAGCAATTTAATTACATGGCATTTTAAAACAATGAAAATTAAATATAAAAATTAAGTTTTACATTGACCTCTCACTAAGAAAGCCAGTGTATTTATTTACTCAGGACAGAGCGCGTGTGGTGAGAAATGGAAAGACCTGGGCAGCTGTCATGAAAAAAGCATCCTTGCATTCCTTCTGTGCAATGATATACTGGTGAGTGAGGTCGGGACAGGGAAGTCCTGACCAGGGATATTTGCCACTTTTTGTGGTGTAAATATTCCTGACGTGATCAACTCTAAGCCACCAGCATGATGTCACTGAATGTGAAATCAAAGGTTGCACACAGTGGCTCACAAATACGATGGACATAAGTACCCTCCAGAACAAAGCAAATAATATTTAGTAACATGGGAAGTCATAAGTTTGGTCTTTGTTACTTTTTGTAATATAATTCACTTAATTCTGAGTTTATACAATTTATTTTTTTAATAATGCATTTCACAACCAACTTGCAAAATTCTTAGAAACGTAACAAATGGCCTTTATAAGCCAGGACTGGTGGATCTCAGCGTACCACTGGCCCTTTGCCTCCTTGCTCCCCATGGTAGCTGAGTTTCCTCAAAGGCACACATATCAGTCAGCATTAACACCTGGTCCTGAGGGAGGTGGAAAAGCAAACTAACCTTATGAAACTGTATGGGCAGAAGACTATTTCCGTTTTTATTATCTAATTGTTATCAATGTGATCTTTGATAGCAGAAAGATCAACAGCATAAGTATTTCAAGATTATGCCCTGGCCGGTGCAGCTCAGTGGATTGAGCTTGGGCTGTGAAACAAAAAGTCACTGGTTTGATTCCCAGTCAGGGCACGTGCTTGGGTTGTGGGCCAGGTCTACAGTGGAGGCCATGTGAGAGGCAACCACACGTTGAGGTTTCTCTCATTCTCCTTCCCTTCCCCTCTGTCTAAAAATAAATAAATAAATAAACAAATAAATAATATTTCAAGATTATGTGATCATATTCATAAGCTGGGGCAAAACAACAATATCATTATCTTTTGTCAATCATATATCTATTTATGTATCATCTATCTAAATATTTCGTTGATATCATTTTGTTTTGTCTTAATTTGTTCTATCTTGATCCCAGTCTGAAAAATTTGCATGAAATTTCCAAATAGTGATAGCGATGTAAGAAGTACAGGTGGTCTTCAACCTACTGTGGGTTTTCCTTCAAAGCAAGGGACAGAGCACAGTAGTTATACACCCACATGGGCTGTTTGGCTGGGTGATAAACAAAACAGAGAGGAACCTGCCTGCTCTGGAAAGACCTGCGAATGCATGAAAATACTCGGATGTACCTTCTTAATGTCTCTGGCCTAATAGAGTCTGCTAAGAATTTACTGGAGTATAAAAAATAAATATCTTCTTTGTTTTGCTTTGAATACAACCATTTTCTTGTAGAATTGTACCATAGGTTTGGGTCTAGGTTTAGCCCCTTGAAATACTTCAATCTATGTAATGATATACATCAACATTAAAAATATGTTTGATTATGCCATACACAAAAATAAACTCAAAATGGATAAAGTACTTCAATATAAGTCAGGAAACCATACAAATCCTAGAAGAAAATATGGGAAGTAAAATCTTGGATATTTAACATAAAAGTGTTTTTGATGACATATCTCTTAAGGCACTGGAAATGAAGCAAAAATAAACAAACAAGACTACATCAAATTACAAAGCTTTTGTACAGCTAAATAAACCATCAACAAGATGATAAGGAACCCACTATATGGGAGAACATTTTTGCCAATGATACATCTGACGGGTTTAATCTCCAAAATATACAAAAAAAATTAATACAGCCGGATGCCAGAAAGACAAACAACTCAATTAAGAAATGGGCAAAATACTTGAATAGACACTTTTCCGAGCAGGACCTACAGAGGGCCTGTAGACACGTGAAAAATGCTCAACACCATTAATCATCAGATAAGTGCAAAATAAAACCTGAATGAGATATCACACTTGTCAGAATTGCTGCCATCAATAAATCAACAGACAATAAGTAGTGAGTGTGTGGAGAGAAGGCACCCCTAGTGCAGTATTGGAGGGAATGCAGACTGGTACAGCCACTGTGGAAAACAATATGGAGTATACTTAAAAAATTAAAGATGGAACTCCCTTTTGACCCAACAATTCTACTTCTGGATACCCCAAAGATCCCAAAACACCAATGCCAAAAAATATATGCATCCCAATGTATATAGCAGTGCTGTTTACAATAGCCAAAAGTTGGCAATAGCCTAAGTGCCCATCAGTGGATGAGTGTATAAAAAATCTGTGGCGCATCTACACAACGGAATACTATGAAGCAGTCAAAAAGAAGAAACTCTTACATTTTGCAACAGCATGGATGGACCTGGAGAAACTTATGCTAAATGAATTGTCACTCAGTGAAAGAAAAATACCACATGATCTCACTTATATGTGGAATCCGATGAGCACAATAAACTAACAAACAAGATAGTAACACAACCTTAGATACATAGAAGAGACTGACAGCTGCGGGAAAGGAGGAGGGGGATGGGATGAGAGATGGTGAAGGGATTAGTTGGAGAACACTTATGCACAACCCATAAACATGGACAACAATGTGGGGATTGGCCTGGGCTCTGGAGAGGGTGGGGCTTTGTTGGGGAGGGAAGGGGGGAGTGGGAATAATTATAACAGCTCAAACAATACTAAAAACCAATAATACAAGTTAAAAAATAAAATAAAAAATGTAATTAATGATAAGACAGGATTTACATCTGCCATTTGCAATTTGTCTTCCATGTATCTTATGTATTTTTGTTTCACTATTCAATTACTGCCTTCTTAGCCTTAAGTTGATATTTTCTAATTTACCATTTTTGTTTCCTTGTCACATTTTCCTATATTTTTGAATAATTTTTATTAGCTGTTGTAAGTGATTAATATCTTACTTTACAACAATCTAGTTTAGATGAATAAAAACTTGATTTCAGTAGCATTAAAAAAATAAAATATGGCTGATTTGGAAACATCTAATCATCAAGATTTCCGTTAGTGTAGAAAAGTGTCCATGATACCACCAACATGCACTGATATAGATCTCACTTTTTATTTCAAAAGAATTTATGTATTCTATAGTTAACTGTAAAAAGAACTGTGGCACTTACATTCCTTTTTTAAAAGCAAAATGTAGTTTTTTTCTCAAGTACAGTTTACGTTCACTATTATTTCTACTAGTTTCAGATGCACAGCATAGTGATTAGACGATTATATATTCTACAAAGTGGTCCCCCTGATATTTCTAGTACCCAACTGGCACCATGCCTAGTAATTACAATATCTTGACTATTCTTTTTGATGTACTGTGCTCTCTGCCCAGAGAGAAATTGCAAAAAGAAAAAGTCATAGAAAACAACCCCTCCAAGTTGGAGAGTTCTGTCCCTTTGTATGTCTAGTTTAGGAAGGACATAATAAAGGCAGGACAAGTCAAAGAAAAGGTGGCTCTGACAAACAAAATACAAACAGAGGCAGGGACGCCCAGAACAGACTGGCAGATGTCAGAGGGGTGGAGGAGTGGGGACGGGATGAAAGAAGGTAGAAAGAGTAGCCAAAAATCATGTATATGTGTATTTACATAGATGACACATAGGCAAAGATAACAGTGTGTTGATCGCAAGAGAGAAAGAAGGGTAGGGGGCTAGGGAAAGGTGGGCGAGGGGTGGGGAATAGGGACCAAAAGAGACTTTGCTTGGGGCTGTAAGTGCACCATGCAGTGTGCAGGTGCTGTTTTGTTGAGTGAATGCTTGAAGCCTGTATTGTTTTGTGAGCCAATGTCCACTCAATGCATTCAATTAAAAAAGGAGTATGGTGCATATTTGTAATGTAATGGTATTCAGCCATGAAAATGAAATATTGCCATTTGTAGCAATATAGATGAATTCTGAGCTTGTTGTGCTAAGTGAAATAAGTCATAAGAAAACAATGTAATTTCCCTCTTATGGGGAATGTAAAACAAAAAGGAAACTAACAAAACAACACAAAAACAGACTCTTACAGACAACAGAATGGTGGTTACCAGAAGGGAAGGGGGTTGGGAGGAGGGCACAGTGGGTAAAGGGGGTCAATTATAGGATGATGGAAGGAATCTAGACTTTCAGTGGCGAGCAGAGACTGGAGCATACAGCTCTCAAATTATAATGTTATACACCTGAAGTTTACATAATGTTGTTAACCAATGTTAGTGCCTCATAACTAAATAAGTAAATAAATAAATAATTTTTCTATCTAAAAATTAGGAAATGAGTTGCTCAAATAAAGGCAATGTGATCAAGGACATGACCTTTAAAAAACAAAGAAAGAGAGAAAAGAAAGAAGGAAGGAAGGAAGGAAGGAAGGAAGGAAGGAAGGAAGGAAGGAAGGAAGGAAGGAAGGAAAAACAGGAGGTGGGTTTGGGAAACATCTGCTTTTTAGTCAATGTAAAATGGCCAGAAATTTGCTGCTGATGACATTTCTGGGAAACTTGCTTGGCTTCAGTCCTTTTCACAAGAAATTATAACAAAAATGGATTTTTATTTTTTAAAACAAATTTATTGTTGTGACATGGTTAACAAAATTATATGTTTCAGGTGTACAATTCTATAATACAACATCTGTACATTGAGCATTTATCTCATTTTTTTCATAGTGAGAAAAGTTGGTCAAAGAGGCCCTTCAGAGAAATTTGTTTCATCACTTCAAAAAAGTATGTGATTCAAAAGGTGACTTGTGTTTTTCATCATCATAAAAATGAACAGTAGAATGACTAAAGGAGGAAACATTTAAAGCGCTTACTCAATATAATACAATTGAAGCTAGAGTGGACTGTTTTTCTAAGGAGAGCTTAATTGGATCATAGTAAGATGATAAACAATCCCTACAATTTAAAAATTAAATAAATATGCTGAGAAGTTCGCTCTCTCTTTAATTACAGCAAAAGAAAAAATAAGTAAGTCCACAAATGAATGTTATTTCTGCTAGAACTTAAACTGAGGCTAAATTCAAAAGTATTACTGTATCCAGTGGCTCTTGAACTTCAGCATGCATTGGAATGACACAGATGCTGGGCTGCAGTCCCAGAGTTTCTGTGTGGTACATCTGGGATGGGGTCCGAGAACTTGTATATCTAACTTTTTC